GATTATACCACCAACTGGACCAGGTTTTGCTTTTTGAAATTAGTATCATGAATAACTGAAGTTGAAGAAGAGGAGATGACGAGAGATCCTCATTCATAATGATAATAGAACGATGACCAATAAGTTAATCAGAAAGAATTGAGATGTAATTATGGGAATTATGAGTTGAGGGAAAGAAAATCCGCAGCACCGATCACACGTGCACTGCTATTCATCTTTAAATAAGTTCCTGAATTACTTAAAATGAAGTTTGCATAATGCTGGCGATATCGGCTATTTACAATCACTTCAGCAACGAGATATCAAACATCAATTCGAAATCGTGTTCGGAATTCTCTGTGGAAGTTTTGCAAACGAAATATTTTGGTTGATTGCGGTGTTGTTCCATGCTCTTATGTTCACACAGTTTTTGAACACGTTCGTTCGATGAGCAATTGTCGAAGTCTCACTCAAATCAAAATCTAACCTCACAGTTTTCAGAACATATGAATTAAGCTTCGCAATAATGTTGAGATTTATTAGGCTCGTTTTAAATTTACTTTTCATCTGTCTCTGATGATGTGTGTGCAGTGCATTTGTTTTCTGAAAACTCACAAATACTGCTCGATTGCAGTGACACTTGCTGTTGTGCTGTGCTTATTTTCGATACATAACGCTTTTGAAAACAGGAATTTTCACCTTCTATATCTGCTTGCTTGATACGCTGTAAGGAAGGCTTTGCTTTTAAGCAACTGCAAACGATAGCGAAATCGATCAAGTTTGCTTACGTCTTGAAACATGACAGCTCAATAATCGCCGTCTGTTTGCTTCTTGAAACAAAACAAAACCTTTCCAACGTTCTGGTACTAATGCTCCGAGTTTTTCGGGAAACATTTCAGGAAGCCACATGGGTCGAAGACGCAGGCCACGCGTTCAGCCACATCCTCCATCGGTGAGACCGCCACGTAAAAAACAAAGAAGACAAAAAACGATCAAAGGATCCAAAAAGATTTTGTTATCGTCGCTATTTGCACTTAATCCAGACGTCGTCTATGCATACCTGACCGACCCAAAACGCTTCAGTTATTGCTTCGTCACGTTCTTCGTTGTGCTTTTACCTTGCTTCGCTGCGATTTCGCTGCTTGCTTATCGCTCATTACTAGTCGTCGCTCAAATAACATACAGTGAAACCTGCAACATGGAAACTTTGATACCGTAACATGTAGTGAGGCGACATAAATAAATGATCAGTCGACACAAATAGATGATAGATGATCACGATGTGGAGAAAGGGGATTTGGTAAAAACATTCAATATGGAGGTGGTGTAGTTGAGTCACACAGCGCTCTGACTATCTGACGAGCATAGGGAAGTGTGCCTTCGATTT